TGCAGGAATCCTTCTCTGGTCAGCTGCAAATGCATCCCTCGGAAAACAAACAAGAAGCACTTACCAGTTAATTTTCTGAAAGCAGTGGCGCTATTGTGATGCCTGGGTGTGACCTCCCTGCTGCAGACTGAAACGCAGGGTGGTTTTCAGAACTGCTACGTTGGGTGTACTCTTTCCCTGCTTCCTCATTTGGCTTTTAGCTGGCTTTTTGGAATGACCCTGTGGAGGAGAATGATGCTGGGCTTCCTCTGAATGTGGTCCTTCCCTTCCTCCTCCACCCTCCATAAAAATGCACCCTGCTTTCCTGGAGGAAAGTAAGCAATGAGCATACTGCCCCAATTAATTCTTTTGCTCAGCCTCTGTGTGTGTGTGTGTGTGTGTGTGTGTGTATGTGTGTGTGTGTGACTGAGGTTTGTTTTTTTGAATGGAATCATCGCCATTGGCTGCAGTGCCGCGGGCTGAGGGATGAGGGGTGGGGGAAGCACCCAGGCCTCCTTTGTTTGGGTGGGCTGGAGCCTAGGAAAAGTCAAATTAAATCTCATTTCAACAATGGAATGAAAAGAACCTTGGAAATGTCAAAGGAGAGCTCTTCAAACGCCCTGGGTTTCAGTGTGTTTCTGAGAGGGAAGAGAATTGCAATCACAGTGTCAGTTGGGCGAGCATGTTAGTGTGTGTGTGTGTGTGTGTGTGTGTGTGTGTGTGTGTGTGAGAGAGAGTGAAATTTTTTTTTTTTTTTTTTTTAACTGAGGCAGGTTGAGAGACAGCTTGCCAGGCTCTGAGGAAATTAAAGGTTGGATTTTTATCTCTCATCTCCCTCGTGGGCCTGGCAGATATGGGCTCGTCTGTGTATCTGCAACAGGACTCATAATTCAGAAATTCTAGGGCGGGCTTTGGGGGGGCAGGGGGAGCAGGGGGGAGTGGCGGGGGGCGGGGGGGAGTGGTGAAGGTGAGCAGGGCTTGATGTGGTTAGCTCCCCTCTGCAGGGCTAACGTGATTATCTGGGGAAGGTCTAGCATCAGCTTGACCATGTGCTATTGGAAATCGAATGTTATTAGGTCCTGAAACATGGGTGGGCCGCCTAATTGAGCACGGCTTGAGGAGCACACGGCTCTGTGTCTGCCTGCTGTCGAGGCTGCGGGGGGCGCCGGGTGCCGCCCCGAGTATCGCCTCTTTGGCATAAGGATCTTTTTGAGCTGATTATTTCTGAAGACACGGCAGACCCAGAAGAAGCTCTGGAAACAGTCAGGAGTTACCCTTTGGGGGGGGGGGGGGGGGAATCTACATTTATGAGAGACATTTACATTAGAAAGGGCCTGTATCAGGAAGACAGCTACTACTACTGGAGATCATTTTTTTATCGGAGAGGCTTATCTGCCAGTCAGGACGACCTTTGTCTCCCTAACATTTCCTCTTCTCACCTTCCTGAGAATTACCTTCCCCTCCTCTAAATCCCAGACCTATCCCTTTCCTTAGCTCGGGATCCCATATAATCCTCAATCTTCTGGCCGCCATGTGAGGCTGATATCTTTGTGGGTCGCCTTAATGCACGTAATTAAAGTTGTTTTGTGTCCCCCTCCCGCCTTCCTGGCCATGTCTCTTTACACGGGGTCTTAGCCAAGAACAATGAAATGTGGAGGGAACATGCCCGTTCCTCCCCTCCAACACCAAGTCCAGGAAATGTGAAGCAGTATTCACTGTGCAGTGGGGAAGGGTGGAGGGGGAGCAGATCGAAATAACCCCAAACTCCAAATTTCCCCCTGCCTATAAGGATGCACTCCTTCACATTTCCCAACCCCTTGATTCCACAGAAATAACCACTATTAATAGTCCTGGCATATCTCTTTTCAGTATGACCCCAGCATAGATGTGCTGGTTGAAGGAGGAAGCAAATAGCAGAGCTCTTTGCTGCCAAGTCCTACCTAGCCACCAGCTCCTACCGCTCTGCATCAGCCATGTTAGTGTTTGCTACTAGTTAGTTACACTCTACCTTCTGCAAACACACAAAAGCACAGTTTCCCCCACAAAAGACATTTTTGAGAAGAATTTTAAGTTTTGGTTATTTACATGGCCTCCAGTTCCTTTTTTGGTGGTAGAGCGGCAAGCACTGAGGAGCAAAGGATAGAGGAAGATGAGAAATGGCATTTGGCAAACAGTGCCTAGGTGCTAAGCATAGTTGAAGCACAGTACACACCGAAACTCAAGGAAGTGTATACGTTTTTATGTTTTCGCTACCCCCTAAAACAATAGAGTTGAAACATGATTACTTACCTTTGAAATTGGTCCGAAAAACTCAGGAACAGTAAATAAAATGTCTCAGCTGCACATTTGCGGAGCTCCCCTAAGATGTGTGTATATATATTATTATTTGGTCCATTATGCAAAAATAGTTGAAGCTGAAGGGCCACCCTTTGTGCAGTGAGAGCCGTGGACATCAGCCAGGCTGTTGGGTGGTGCATTGGTTACGCTGGAGAGTCAGTTCATTGGCGATCTAGTAAGGTGGCCTCCACTGCACGTTGCAGAGTTGGAGTTCAGTCCCAGGCACTGACTCTACACACCACATTTATAGCACATAGACAAGCTATTAAGGAAACGAGATAACAAGAAGGGGTCCGTGGGATCTTGTGCTCTGTGTGGTGGGTGTGCCCTGAGGGGTCCAGGAAAGGAGATTACGCTGACATTTCCAATGCGATGTTATCTTGGACACAAAAAAAGGCAATAGACAGGGTCCCCTTAGGTAGAGATTGACCTTTGTAAGGTCTGGGACGAGACTTGACTATCACCATAACTCACTTTTAGTTAAAAATGATGTTCAACTTGGCTGGTGTGGTTCAGTGGTTGAGCTTCAATCTATGAACCAGGTATTCATGGTTTGGTTCCTGATCAGGGGTTTTGGGGTCCACAATCCCCAGCAGGGGGCATACAGGAGGCAGACAATCAATGATTCTTATCATTGATGTTTCTATCTCTCCCTCTCCCTTCCTCTCTGAAATTGGTAAAAACTTATTTTAAAAAAAGATATAGTATTTGTATTAAAATAACAACAATAATGATAACCCTATGTAATAAAGAGGTAATATGCAAATTGACCATCACAGCCTCACAAGATAGCTGCTTGCGACCAGGCCAGCCAGCGGGGAGGTTAGTGAGGGATGACCAAATGACTGAACAAGCAGGCAGGGAGGGGGGCAGTTAGGGGTGACCAGACAGGCAGGCAGGTGGGCAATTAGGAGCCAGTGGGTCCAGGATTGTGAGAGGGATGTTGGGGATCAGGCCTAAACCTGCAGTCAGACATTCCCCGTGGGTTCTGAATTGGAGGGAGTGCAGGCTGAGCTGAGTGGACACCCCCCCTCTCCCACACACACACACACACACACACACACAAATTTCATGCACCGGGCCACTAGTAATAATAATAATTGTGTTCAGATGCTTCTGTGTGGTTGGTTACTTTCAGTCTCTGTGTTTGTGTGGCCCACCATGCTGGCTTCCTCTGAACTTGTCGGACTTGGTATGTGGCCCCTTTTCGTCCCCACTGCCCCTTTTTGGTCATAAATCAATCCAAAGGATGCATTAACATTTGACCCTCTTGATTGGATAATGTGGTCACACAGTACTAGGAACGCTTATTCTTAGGAAGTTTCTCTTCCCCACCCCTTCATTAGTTGTTTATTGTTTCACCATTTCCCCAACCAGGCCCCCAATTTTTAAAAAATATATATATTTTATTGATTTTTTACAGAAAGGAAGAGAGAGGGGTAGAGAGTTAGAAACATTGATGAGAAGAAACATCGATCACCTGCCTCCTGCACACCCTCTAATGTGGATGTGCCCACAACCAAGGTACATGCCCTTGACCAGAATCGAACCTAGGACCCTTCAGTCCACAGGTGACCCTCTATCCACTGAGCCAAACCGGTTTTCGGCCTTTTTCCTACTTTGATTTGCTCTCCTCTCCCTTAGCTTCAGAATCAGAATTAGGTGTGTGTGTGTGTGTGTGTGTGTGTGTGTGTGTGTGTGTGCGTGCACGTGCTTCTGATTTATCTCTCTCACGTGAGCGTAGAAACTCAGCAATAAGGTCAGGGAATTCAGGTTGCATTCCTAGAAGTCTTAGTGTCATCATCTGTCTTGCTGAAATGGTGGACTGCTGGGATAGAGTAAGAACATAACCTTAGAGCGAAAAGTCAAACCTGTCTGTTGTCTTTTTGCATCTAAGATAACAGACCTTTGAAATGTCAGAGTAATCTCATTTTCCAGAATGTCCAGGGCACACCCACTGCAACAGAGCCTGAGATGACACAGAACCCCTCGTTGTTATCTTGTTCCCCAAATACCATCTTTCTGGGCTGTCAGCTATTAACTGTACTGTGCCCACCGATGTGAAATAAGTACGTGTCTCTTTGCTTTATGTTGCATCCAGTCCTAGAGATCCTACCCTTTGCTTTTTCCTGCCCCCTTAATCTATTGAGCAGAAGACAGAAGGAAACTAGGTAGACAGGGATGACAACGGGGGAGAGGAAACAGAACCCAGGAACCAACTGGGGAGAGTTACTAAGGCAACCCAGATGGTCAGAGAAAGAAGGGCACACAGGAGACATCAACTTTAAAATGCATGTATGTTGTTGCTAAGACAAGCAGCTTACAGAGATAACTAGTCACAAGGCAGTGAGGCGTATCACAAGAATGTTTCTAAGGCAAGATTCTTTGACAGAACCAATCAGGAGCTAGCAAGACATGATTCTGCCCGTAGACAAAACACACACACACACACACACACACACTCTCCCCCCCCCCCTCTCTCTCTCTCTCTGTCTCTTCCCTTCCCCCCCAATTCAGGCAGCAACAGAGAATGGACGCTCTGGACACCGGCCTGCTTCTGGAACCCCAGCTGCACCTTTTCCAGGACCAGCTTCTCTCAATAAACTTTGCTTCTGCCGTTTTTTTCTACAAATTCACTCATCAATTTTGCGAGGCAAAGAACTCAGACCTGAACCCCATATGTT